TCAATACCCCACTCTCAACAATGGATAGATCATCCAGACAGAAAATCAACAAGGAAACATTGAACTTGAACCATACTTTAGACCAAATAAAAATAACACATATACAGAACATTCCATTCAACAGCATCAGAATACGCATTTGTCTCAAGTACACACAGAATATTCTCCAGGATAGATCACACAATAGGTCAAAAAACAAGTCTTAGCAACTTTAAGAAGATTGAAATCCTAAGTATCTTTTCTGAATACAGTGGTATGAGGCCAGAAATCAATAACAGGAAGAAACTGGAAAATTCACAATTGTGTGGAGATTAAACAACATGCTCCTGAACAACCAATGGGTCCAAAAAATCTAAAGGAAAATAAAAAATGCCTCAAAACAAACAAAAATGGAAGCACAACATGTCAAAATCTATGGGATGTAAAAGCAGTTCTACAAAAGCAGTTCTAAGAGGGAAGTTTATCGTGATAAGTGCCAGCATTAAGAAACAACTCAACCTCACTGTATACCCCAATGGACTATAAAATGAAGAACAAACTAAGCCCAAAGTTAGCAGAAGGGAGGAAATAACACAGATCAGAGCATGCCGCGACCTGCAAGGGGAAGTGGGGGATCCTGAGAGGGAGCGACAGGAAATTAAGAAATACACGGAGACATATAAGACAGTTAAAGCTAGGGCTGGGTGGGACACTGCCCTCAGATGGAGAGACGGTGACCCCAAGCAAGCTCAGTTTCTTTATTACATACATCAAGATAACAGTTCTTTATGGCAACTGCGGGTAACCAAAAGGAACAAAAACAATCCCTTGGCAAGCTTTCTCAGAACATACTGCTTTGCTGCACCCAGAACAACATCTTGAGGGTTTTCTATTATTATACGCAGCACCCACTGTACACAGAAGTTGGCACCTGACCATTGTTCGGCTGATCACATATCCTAGCCTTTGGCAGGACACGTTGCACGCAAGCATAGCTCTGCTCAGGCCAGCGTGTCAGCCTACACAATGGACAGGAGGAACCTGTATCCAGACACGGCTTTGCCTCTGCCCCGGACAAGGTCCCTCAGGGTCTTCAGGGTACAGCCTTGCTCCTGCCTGAGTCCCGGCCAGCCTCCAGGTTCAGCTGCTCTCCACAAGAGCAGAAATGAAAATATAGAGACCAGGAAAAAAATAGAAACAAATCAGTGAAACTAAGAGCTGGGGGTTTTTGTAAAGATAAATGAAATTGACAAACTTCTAGCTGGAACTCAGAAAAAAGGAGACAGGACTCAAATAAATAAAATCAGAAATGAAAGAGGAGACATTACAACTAATACCACAAAAATACAAGGATCATGAGAGAATACTATGAACCATGAAATGCCAACAAACTGGATAACTTAGAAGAAATGGATAAATTCCTAGAAACATATAACCTACTAAGACTGAATCATAAAGAAATAGAAAATCTGAAGAGACCAAAAAAGAATGAGATTGAATTAGTAATCAGAAAATTCTCAACACAGAAAACTCCAGGACCAGATGGTTTCACTGGTGAATCCACCAAACATTTAAAGAACTAACTCCAGTTCTTCTCAAACTCTTCCAAAAATTTAAGAGGAAGGAACACTCCCAAACTCATTTTACAGGACTAGCATTTTCCTGATACCAAAGCCAGATAAGGATACTACAAGAAAAGAAAATACAGTGGTACTTTGGTTTTCAAATGTCTCCGTTGACGAACATTTTGGTTTACAAATGCCAAAATCCCCGAAGGAAATGCTTTGGTTTTTGGACATACCTTGGAAGTCGAACATGCCACACAACTTCCGCTGAGGGCAGGATCCTGAGGCCTACCTGTTGGCTATTGACCCCTTGGTTTTTGAACATTTCAGAACTCGAAGGTCTTCAGGAATGGATTACATTAGAAAACCGAGGTACCACTGTATAAGCTAATACGCCTGATGAATATAGATACAAAAATTCCTAACAAAATACTAACAAATCAAATTCAACAGCACAATAAAAAGATTATACATTATGACACTATGATCCAGTAGGATTTATCCCTGGGATGCAGGATGGTTCAACATGCACAAATCCATAAATGTGATATACCACATTGATGGAAAGATAAAAATAATATGATTATCTCACTTGATGCACAAAAAGCATTTGACAAAATATAACATCCTTTCATAATAAAAATGCTCAACAAAATGGATATAGAAGAAACATACCTCAACATAATAAAGGCCATATATGACAAGCCCACAGCTAACATCATACTCAATGGTGAAAATTTGAAAGCTTTCTCTCTAACATCAGAATCAAGACAAGAGTACTCACTCTCATCATTCCTATTCAACATAGCACTGGCAGTCCTAGCCAGAGCAATCAGGCAAGCAAAAGAAATAAACAGCATCAAATCAAAAAGAAAGAAATAAAATAGTCTTTGTTTGCAGATAGTATGATTTTATATGCTAAAAAGACTGGATGAAAGGCTATTGGAGAAAATGATATTTTTATGGTCACAAAATAATCCCCAAATGTTATTACTACTTACAAAAGTAAAATAATACCTTTACATTTATAACAGAGAAATCTGGTGATTAAACTTCATACCACCAATAACAGGACAAACTGACAATACCTACCTCCTGAGGATACAGTGTCACCTATATCTGACTATAAACTAAATGATAGTTGGTATCAGTGTTAAATTTCTTGGACTGGTTCATTGTATTGTAGTTATATAGGTTAAAATTATTGTTGTTTGAGAAGACATTATTTGGTGAATTATCACATTGTATGCTTTAAATATCTTACAATTTTATTTGTCAACTGTACCCCAATAAAGCTGAAAATTTTAAAATAAATAAAAGTAAAAATTAGCATGAATTGGGTTAATCAGTGTTTCTACACTGAGACATCATGATACTTAGGTGGCAAAGAACAGGTTTATACCACCACTGTTACCTAGCTATTCTTTTTTTTTTAATATATGTTTATTGATTTCAGTGAGAGGAAGGGAGAGGGAGAGAGACAGAGATAGAAATATCAATGATGAGAGTCATTGATCGGCTGCAGCCCGCAACCCGGGCCTGTGCCCTGACCGGGAATCGAACCCTGATCGCCAGGATCCTAAGTCGACGCTCAACAGCTGAGCCACGCCCGGCCGGGCTACCTAGCTATTCTTCATACATAATCTGTACCTAGCACAATAGCTTTGAAAATATCCCTGGTTATTTATACCTTGTTTAATCTGTTAGTGTAGTATAAAGAACAAGGATATTTTTGCCAGAAGGATGTAGATTTAATGTTGACACAGTGACATAGTAGTTGTGGGATAGTTTGTGCCTAACATTTATCCTCTCTCAGCTGCAGTTTTCTTTTTATCAACATGATTGGGATAAAATGGCTACCTTGCAATGTCCTGAGAGATTAGCTAAAGTGTATGGAAAATGTTTCGCATAGTAAACGGTGTTTACTAAATGTTAGCTATTTCTATTATTGATACTTGTTTCAGGTAATGTCCTTTGCCACTGTGGCAGTACTTGCTGACTCCCACAGAAACATAGGCCTGTGTCTCTATCCATTCCTTAGTCAGTGGGTATTGTAACTGGTTGACTCATTTAGAACAATGGCCAACACAGAACCATGAGTATATATATTCACAATATCATTTGGTGACACCTAATTGCATAGTTAGAACTCAAGTGGAAATAAAAAAAAAAAAAAAAAAAAAAAAAGAGGTCTTATGCTAAGGCTTCTTTGCCTTTTAAATTCTGTCCATGATGTGATGTGATATTTCCTTGTTCCTTATACCAGTGATGTGAGGGGTCACCAGGACATTAGCACAGAACTCAATACTCCGTTTTCCTTTCCCAATCCATAGATTGTACAGTGTTTGGCATGTCATATACAGAAACACAAGGAATCTCAACTTTACTGGGGCAGGAAAAAAATCTTTGCTATCTGAATCTACCCTTTAATACAAAGATCAACAACACAGACACCAAAAGAGTTCATTAACTTTAATAGTTTAGCACAGTTTTAATAGTTCTTTCTAAGAATTATATCCCAGGGACCCCCAGGATATTCACATACCACACCTACAAGTAGTCAAATTTTATAAATGCAATATTGCCAAAGCAGGAGAAGTAAGGAAAGCCTTTAGAGCCTTGAGATTAAAACAATGCTTAATCATGCTCTCAATTCTTGTTACTAGATGCTAAACACTAAATGCTAAAAAAGCTGGGCTGGTGGCTTGGAAAAAGCATGAAGAAGAAAGCTCTCAAAATGATGAGCACTTCTATACTCATTTTTTAAAAATCTCATAACCAGGATGACACAGGATAGGTCTCTCTATTTTGGTAACCATGTTGATGTCAAAGGGAGAAACATTTTCAGAGCAACAAATAGAGTTGGTTTTATTTATGCTACAATATGTTAGTGAGGGCCAAGATACCCAAACTTCTTATAACTGTGGTTTCCCCTTTTGCTCACACTTGGTGTCAAGAATTGAAACTAGGAACACAGAGTCAGAATCACTGTAGTAGCACAATAAAAATGTGTTAAATGAATGAACTTATACTTGGCATGCAGTGTGAGCAGGCTGGACCTAATTTTCTCTAAGTAGAAACCTTCCTGGGACATTTTGGGGAGGTGACATTCCAGCAGCAAGCTTGACTTGTCAGTGCCCTGGCAATCCCATGAAATCCAAAGAACAACTGAGTTCTTACTAGTTCATCCCAGTCCCCTGAAAATGCCCACTCAGCCTCAAAACTTGTGACCAGAATTTCAGACTCAATATCATATATAGTAAAATTAAAATGAATATGTGCATGCTTCATTCAATTACATTCAGTACATACAAGACTTTAAGTCTGGGGTAGAAACTGAGCAATGTGAGATCCCTTTCCCCCACCTTAACCTTTTGCCTTTTTAGCTTTCTCTCACTCTCTTATTGTCTGTCCTCCTTCCTGCCCCTTTCTTCTGAACTCAGTCTTTTGCCCTTCCCCCTGCTTTCTTTTTTTGCTTCCTCATTACTGAAGTTGAATAATTCTAAATATCTGTGGCTCCAGAGGGTTGGTCCAATGAAGTTGTTTTTAGTTCCCAGAAATAAGAGCAGTTGTAAGAAAAAGAAAACGGTTTCTGGCTGCATTAACAGTGATTTAGAGTCTCTTTTGAACACATAGATTTCGAGAACATTCTATTGAGTGTGAATATGGTACCTACACAGTAAGCTGGGGATTTTAGTTTCTAGGATATAAATTTCATGGTGATGATAATGATATGATGATAAAACAATAAACAATTAGTCACACAGTGAGATCCACTTAAGTAAAACAAGTGGTGATGCTATTTAAAGCAGATGGGCATATCCAATACATATTTGTCACCATTCTTAATTTCAAATTCACAAGTGCTGGCTGGAGGAGATCCTTTCAGGCAGTAAATCAGTTTGCATTTCTTTCATAGCATAGAGAGCAAGACTAAAGGAGCCAGTCAGAATTACTGCAGGAGGTCAGTTCTCTGCTTTCATCTCCCTTCTCTCCATGCTTCAAATAAGAATATGAGGGAAATTCCAGGACACCCTATTGGTTACTATCCTTAGCCTGTTCCTACCCTCAAGAGCATAAGGTTCCTTTGGCCTATAAGAGTAACAGAAGTTATTTCCTTAGATAATTCTTTTTAAGGCTTTAAATTAATTCCACCCTGACACTGTATGGTTCTAAATGTCCTTTCACTCATTCATTCATTCAACAAATTTCCATTGAGTATCTACTCTCTGCCAAGCATGATTGTAAATGTTGGGTAATACATCAATTCCAGTTATTCTAATATTCTTTTGTAAGAAAAATCTTTGACACAATTGATATGATCTATTGGTAAACTGGAATATGCACAAATGTCAATCCTGTCACTATTAAGTGTTGAATCATTCTCAGCATATCTTATCTCTTAACTCTTTGGAAAATTTCCTTCCATATGACAATAATGAGAAAAAAGATGATACAAAATGGAAAATGAATAGCTACATTCTGGTTTTCTTCTTCTTTTGAGGAGCATACAAACCCATTTCCAGGCAGCTTGGTATTGTGGGAAGACTACCAAACCTGGAGTCAGATGGCTTGGATGCATCTTAGCTTCATAACCTTCAGGAAGTTACTTCATTTTTTGAGTCTCCATTTTTTTATCCTAAAAACAGTCCAGGAATCTTTGCCCTACCTTCCTCTGGCATAACTGATAGAAAAAATAACAACACTGAAATAATGTTTGTAAAAGTGATCTGAAAACCATCAAGCCCTATTCAAATGCAAATTACCACTATCAAACAATCTGATGCTCCTTTCAGGGAAAACCTTCACATTAGAATTTCTTTTTCTCCATTTTTAAGGGGGAAATTTACATAATCAACTAGCATTATTTGGGCATTTGGCAGTATAACCCACATTTATTTCTTCATGAAGTAGACCAATTAGAAGTTTTCCTTATTGAAAATGAAATGCACTCCCCGAGGGCCAGATTCAGAGTTGGAGATGCTTTGTTTACTGAGGGTTTCAGCCAAGGCTTCAGGTCCGCAGAGGAAAACTCCTATTCTGGTACTTTGGGGAAAGAAAGAAAGAAAAAGACAATTTCAGGCTTTGGGATGCCATAGATTAAAAAGTAGTACGGGAATTTCCAAATGATTTCAGGCCCCAGGGCACAATCCCCTCTGCTCCTCCTTTGTCTTATCTACAAATGGCTGAGTTCAGATGGCCCTGTCGGAGAGCTGCTCAGCCCTGTTTGTGAAAGCAGCAGGATACTTCAAATGGAAATTAACGTCCCTGGAAAATGACATTCAAGTAGGGTTTATGGAAATTTCTACTACAGAAAAAATGGTGGTGAATTTGTGAGTTGTGGGTTACTTGCCTCCAGGGCTCTGTGTCCTCCCAACCCTCTCCAGCATCCTGAAATCAGGTGCAAATCCGGTTTAGGTACAACAACTCTGCCCACAGCTTGGTGTGGCTTTATCCCTCTACATTTTAGAGTCTGAAGCCCTGCTTCTCAAGGTGTGGTTCCAGACCAATAGCCTCAGGGGCAACTTTTTAACAATGCAGATTTTTGGGCCCCACCGCAGATCTACTAATACCAGCACCTGCATTTTGAAAAGATCCCCCAAGTGATTTATATGCTCATTAAAGGGTAAGCAATGGCTTAAGGGTATATTTGTGGAGATTTCTTGAGTTTATCATGTATTCTAGCAAGATAAAGGATCCCCTCAAATTTTCCTGATGGGTAAAGTTTGAGTGAAGGCAGAAAGGACCTTGAAATGTCTGTCAACTTATGATTTTAGAAGCAAAAACTAAAACCGAAAGTGGGAACAGTGTCTCCTTAATAATATGTATAAATTGTAATAAATTAAAAGAAGTAGGGACACTAGTGAAATTTAGAAGGTCAAAGAAAAGAACCGACTTATGGCCCTATTGGGAGGAGCAGGATTCAGAAAGTCTGAAGTGGGGGCCTGAGAGTCTTTGCTTCGAATAATTCTCCAGGTAATTTTGATGTGATTAAAAGACTCCTATTGAAGTCAAAGATATGCAGAACCTTCAACTCGGTGTAAATACAGGAATCTTAGTATTTTCATTTTCAATATACAGATCTAGCCATGTTTGGGAGCTGCTGCTTTTAGGCAGACCATGAGCCTCAAGAACACCTTGAAGTGGGAGATGCCTTACTTTGGGTGTTGACTCGCAATTGTCTTGAACTCATTATCCCAGTTGGGCCGTCCATACAAAGTCTTTTGTTTCAAGCCTGTGATGACATCTTTCTCTTCATCATGGTGCACAGCAAAGTGATCGGCCTGCAGAAAAGGAAAGGAATTTAGAAAAAAGGGACATACTGTAAAAACACGTAGATATATTTACATGTCTCACAAAGCAAGCTCTCACTACCCATTCTAACAATATATATATATTTGGAGCAAAGCATTCTGAAGGGTAGAAGATAAAAAAGATGAACAAACTAGGTCTCCTCATACAGTTTATAATCTAGAAGGGCAGACCTTGAAGTATCAATATGAATAATCATATTTGTAGAAGAGGGTGTGATGAGTGCCATGGAAGAGACACAAATTTCTCAATGAGAGCAAAGAAGGGAGTTAAGGTGGGAGGATATGGGATGGTTTCAGGATGGCATCATTTGATTCAGGCTTTGAAGTGTGGGTAAGATACAAATTCTCTTACTTATTTTTCTCTCTGCTCTATATGTCATCTGCTCTACCACTTCATCTCTGTGCCAATATACTTCCACTCCCACTCTTGGAGGACAATCACTAAGCATTAAAACAACCATTGACTAAAATGCACTCATAGCCCTGCCGGGCGTGGCCAGTGGTTGAGCGTCGACCTAGGATCCAGGCAATTGGGGTTCGATTCCGGGTCAGGGCATATTCCCCGGGTTGCGGGCTCGATCAATGACTTTCTCATCATTGATGTTTCTATCTCTCTCTCTCCCTCTCCTTTCCTCTCTCTGAAATCAATAAAGATATATTTTTAAAAAATAAAATGCACTCATATTTTGATAACATAATGAGACATCAAATCAAGCTTAAAGCCAGTCTGTGTGTGTGTGTGTGTGTGTGTGTGTACATGTCACATATTGATTTCTGCTACCATTCTAGGGAGCCTCAGTTTGAACAACAAACATGTTTTATAAAAGCAGTTACTTAAATTTATTTAAAATTAAATTAGATTTTAAATCCACTGGACAGGGGATGAATGAAGTTAAGAAGGGTGGTTACTCTGGTTTAATAATCATCTAGAGCCTAGTTTGGCAAAGCAAAATAACTCTTTTTCAATACAAATAAATTTCCCATAAAAAACTGTATCTGGCTCTTTAAATAACAAAACTGTAAAGCAATTTATATATTATAGATTTTTTTCAGAATTTCATTTTTATCAAATATTTTTTGTTGTTTTGTTTTTAAATTACAGAAGTCACATAAAACCACTTTTCTGGAGTAGCAATTTTCATGGTCATGTCAAGACTCTTCTAAGACTTAGAGAATCTATGCTAAATAATATGCCAAAACTCAAATGAGAAAAGGTCAATTTTCAAGGTACATGGGGAAGATGCCCAGGATTGAGGAGCCACTGTGATACTGAGATACTGGTCAGGATAAACAGAGACTCTTGCCTGTAGCTCTTCTCTCAGTGACAACTTATGCTGCTTCCATGCAAATAATTAATGTTTGCTTATTTATAAATATGTTATCCCCTTGGAATTAACTTGTTTTAAAGTTTCTCAACTGAGGCATTCTTGTCATGTAGGGCTAGATAACTCTTTGTTGTCGGGGGTATCTTGTGAATTGTAGAATGTTTACATTGCTAAATGTCCCTGGAGGGAGGGGAAACATACACACACACACACACACAAACACACACACACACATATATATGTCATCTATGTTAGATATATTTTGATTTATTTACAGATTATAATAGTGAACTACTGGGAGTTGCTAAGGGTCCAGCTCTTGAGCATTCTGACTCTGCTAATTACTAATTGGATGCCCTTGGACAAATGACTTCACTTGTTTTAGGCCTTGGTTTCCTCATCTGTAAAATGTGGATAATAATACTGGTTGCTTCATAGGGTTGTTGTGAGGATTCAATTAGATAAACTACATAAACACTAATAATAATATCTGGCCCATAGTATATGCTTAATAACTCTGAGCAATTTAATACTAGTTTAAAAATATACTGTGTATACTATAAAACATGCACAAACATAGAATTAAAAGTATGTATGTATGTGTATCTATAAAAGGAGAGAGAGAGAAAGAGAGCTAATACTTTCTTCTCATTACCCAGTGGATCATCTGGTCCACCTGGTTTGAGACCCCCTGGTGGTCTAATAAGGTCGAAGTCATGCCTTTTATTCATTGTCGGCTCCTTAGCTTTGATCTGTTCCACAGATATCAACTTTAAATATAATCTCAACAGTCTGAACAAGTGGGGATACTGAGTGAGAGTGAATGGGCTGCGTCACCAGAATCCATCAACTGTTATTAGTAAAAACAGTGCACAAGATACTCCAATAGCCAAGGGGAAGTCAGTAAGCCCTGGGCACTGTGGGAAGGACCTGAAATTTGGGATCTTGTCCTCACCTGTGACTCATCCCAGCCGGTGAGGTAGATGTTATAGCTGAGGAAGTCAGCATTATTCCTTTCTTGCATCTGGGTCTCCAGCAACTGTAGCAAGTCTGCAAACCACTCAAAGGCATGTGTGTCCCGGCACAGCCAATAAAAGTAGATCTGAAAGAGGATGGATCATAAAGCAGATTATATTTAAGTAGGACTTGTCAGAATTGACACAAAGATTTCGTCCCTCCTCCCAACTTTTTCTTGCTGCTTAGAAGGTCTAGAAAGAGGTTTTTAGAAAGCTCTGGGCATTTGGCAAGCTGGTTCACATGAACCTGCTCTGGCCTTCATATCAGCAAGGCAGTAAATGAATTGTTTGGCCTCAAAAACGCATAGTTAAGAAAAAATATTAGCCCACCACTTTCTCTCTGGGTCTGCTCTTGCCATCCCAGAATCCCTGTCCTCTTTTGTACCTCCTTTCAGAAAGACCACTGGAATTTAGACTAGTAATGGCTGCCACAGGACTACTTTCCTGACTGCTACTGCCTGAGTTCCTAGGGAAAAAAGTAGTTCTACCCACACCTTCCTCACATAGAAAAATGGAAAAGGGGATAATAAAAGGTCATGGTAAGCTTAGTGTTCCTATTAGAGGTAATCTCTAAGGTTACTAGAATGTCTCAAGTTTTTTTAAAGATGTCCTTTATCAGATAATGAAGCAAAATTTATATGGGACATACAAAATCCTCTGGGAATTTATTCTGAAGAGATATCCATAAGAAAGTAAAAGTTACATGAAAGACATGTCTCCTGCTCTCTTATTGGGGGGCTGAAAATGAAATCTGTCTTGATCACTAACCTAAGATGATAGAAAAATTATTCTATATCCTCTCAATGGAACATGAAGGAATCATTAAAATGATTATTGTAAAGCCTGCGACAACACTGAAAACACTGTTTTTAAAAAAACGACATGAAATTGTACATCCTCATCAGTTACAACTTTCTAAAAGAATGTAAACATGTGGGAAAATATTGAAAGAGAATATACAAACAAGGGTAGTTATTGGGTTGGGGTTGTGGATATTTTCTCTCTACCTCAACTTTCTTCTGAATTTCCTGTAATATACTATTCTATATAGTAATATACAAATACAGTATATTACTTTTACTAATGGGCCTGTTTATATAGAAGAACATTTAACTTATCAAATAGCCCTTTTAAGAGAATCCTGCCTCTCAGGAACCATCCTGAGCCTGCCTACACTTCCCTTGGTCTCTGTCACCTTCAGCCACAAAGTCTCCCTCAGGCTTCACTGGTAAGAGTGTGATGGATACTCCAAGCCCTCTGAGAAATGATGGAACCTACCTTTTTGAGCCTCAGATTGGTGGCATTATTGCAATATTTGTACCAGACTGACTTGAGAATGGATGCAAAGGGTGTGACCCCAATCCCTGCTCCCACTAACATCACCACCTCATAGCTGAACACATCTTCGCTGGCTGTGCCAAAGGGCCCGTCAACCGCTATCCTGGAGGGAAGCATAAGAGGAGATGGTTACAGACATATTTTACACTTCAGAGTAAGATGGAGCACACATTATTACTGGGGGTGTGCAATCTGTCATTGCAAACCAGGACAAGGCATCTACGGGGCACTTTATTTTGCGCAACAGCTTTCAAGTAACCACCTTAGTGTCAACATTGGGGTTGGAAGGACGAAGAGGAATTTTTAGCTTATTGAAAACATTTGGTAACTGTCAGGGGTATTTTGTTCATCTCTCCACCACTCTTCACCCACAACACACTGACATACACACACACGCACATCTGTATTTCTTGCTAGGGCATCCCACGCTTGAAATTTCTGCTTATATTGCACATTGAAGTAAAGTGAGAAATTTCTACATCATAATATCTTGTAGATTTAATATGTCCAATTTTCATCTGTCTATTCATTGAGTTATTCAACAAACTTTTCTCCAGCATCTACTAAATGCCTCACATCATGTTAGGCATGTGGGGAGAAGGAGGTAAAATGAATGATATATGCCATTTACCCTCAAATAATGTATAGTAATTATACTTTAAGAATATCTTTAATACACTATAAGTTTGTTAGAAAGGTTAATATACCTTGGACTTGATCCTTACATGCTGAAAGGAATTTTGGCATGTTCATTGTTAATATTTGATTCAAATATTTTACATTTAATATAAGATTTATAAATATATGCACAAATACACCACATACATAAAATGGGGACTATAGAGATAGCTACCTATATTTGTAGAACCTGTGTGTTTTGTCAGACTCAGGAGATAGAGATGGGAGGAAAGGAGCTTTTTAATGTCATTTTTCCTTACCTCATACACCTTTGCAATATGTACTTTGTACTCACTTAGGTAGTTTCCAGGCATCTTGAAACTCCTGCTTATCACAGCCACAAGCATTAAACAGTCCCTCCGTCCAGTCCCCAACAATGCGGATATGGATGCTAAAAAAGTCTTCCTCAGGGGCAGAGGTCAGCGTGAAAGGGTGCCACTCCAGCTTGGACACCTTGGGGCATTTGACAAAAATGTATTGCCCCACCTCCATCTTGAATCCCTTCTTCTTCATCTGTAGCTCGATGGTTTTGAAAGGATGAGTGACCACCTATAGAACAAAACATGTCTCTGAAAACTACACTTACAAAAAAGCTTGCTTTTTCAGTATCCATATGGATGAAGAGCTTAGCTAAGATGCCACACCCAGGACCCTTCTTCAGGGCCAACACAGCATTTCCTGCAGTGGATGTGTCTCTCATTGGGCACTGCCCTTGGTTGTAGCCCATGGCCAATGAGCAGCTGGTGCAGGGATACAAAGGTTTGGCCCCTTTCCTCAATTTGGGACAACTCGAAGGTGCTATACTAACTCCAGCAATTCCTGTAGGATCAGCTGAGGCTGCAATTGCAAACATACTGAGGGTCAGCTTTTTCCTCTGCCTAATCTTGCCTTTCTTTTCTTTGATGGGTTCATCTCCTGAGCTGAGAACATGCCCCAGCAAACCTTCCACATTCAGTTTTCTGTCTCAGAGTCTTTACAAGGGAATTCAATTTAAGACACCAACTTATTATCACTTTTTTTTTTCCCTAAGAAGTCAAGGAAGGCTCTAGAAATAGAAAGAAGAGAAGGTTTCCTGCTCATCCTTCCTGTTTCCCCAGAGAATGAGAGTCTTAGCAACTGGATAGAAGAGGAAGAAGACCCCATTGGCAAGTTATAGCAATATCTCGCAAAGGCTAACTGTATTTGTCTGCCTTTGTCTTGAATCACACCTTGAACCTGTCTGACTCCATTCATTTTTTCTACATTTTGTCTTATTTGGGGACTACACCATCCATCTCTCTCAAAGCCAGATGCTACCTACCCATTGCCATCCATCCGTATACTTGGGTGTTAATAACATCTTTGTTTATAAAAGCAAAAAATTGGAAATAGTCTAAATGTACATCAATTGATAACTTGGTAAGTAATTTTTAAAAATAGAATGCAATAGATCCCAAGATGGCTGCGGACTGAGTGGAAGCTACACTGACACTGTCTTAAGACTAAACTGGAATTACAACTAAAATAGAGGGAAAACATCCTGAATAATCAACTGAAGACTAGCTAGAGAGCACCCTCATAACCAAGGTCATCAAGTGGAGATGAATAGAGACTGGTAGAAAGTGTGGAGGCGTGAGATGGCTGGTGGGGATCCCACAGGCAGCAGCTGAAGGTCTGGAGGGATATCTCAGCTGTGGGGGGTTCCCACTGAGAATTCTGGGGTCTAAATCCCAAGCTGGGCTCCCCAGTAGAAAGTACCACAACTGAGAAAGGTGCCCACATAACATCTGGCTGTGAAAAGCAGCAGGGTTTCTGTCTTCCAGGAAGAAATGGCTGAAAATGCAGGCACCCTCTTAAAGGGCCAATGCACAAAATTTTGTGTGCAGCAAATCACCTTGGGCTCTGGCAGACGGAGGGAGGAGTGGACTAGAGCTATGTGAGAAAAACCCAAGGATGCTTGCCCTGGGGATAGAGCTCAGAGGGGAGCCATACGGATCCCTGTGATGAGTCATTTCCCTATTCAGCAGAAGACATCGTTCCTAGGCAGACAATTTGTTGCTTTTGCTTGGAGGGGGCCGGGAGAAATTGCCCCACCCTGCTGGAAAACCACTTGCCCCACCCTGTGAAGTTTACACCTTACTGTGGTGTACAGTCTGAGGCTCATTAAGAGACTCAGATTAATCTTCCTGCAGGCAGAGGTGGGCCTCTGGGTATTTTGAGACTTTGCCTGATATGCTTCTTGACCTGAACCTTGGAAAAGCAGACTTTGGTGGGCATCTTGGTACTGTCCAAACACACCCAGCCCCAGCAGAGTGGACGACAAGCTGTGGATTGTTGATAGCTCCAAACAGGGTACTGAAGGCCAGTCACAAACAGTGTCTAACATTGGCATCCAAAAAGACTGGGAGTCCTAGCAGATATACCTAATACATAGAAACAAATCCAAACAGGCAGCCAAAATGGGGAGACAAAAATACAAGCCCCAAATGAAAAAAGGAGAGAATTCTCCAGAAGAAGAACTAAATGAAATAGAGGGAAGCAATCTATCAGATATAGAGTTCAGAATACTGATCATAAGGATGCTCAACAGCATGAGAAAAAATATGGAAACTACAAAGGAAATTAAGAATGACATAGGAGAAATAAAGAATACATTGGAAGAAATAAACACCAGATTAGTGGAAGCTGAGGATCATATCAGAAAATTAGAAGACAGGGTAGAAAAAAATCACTCAATCAGAAAACTAAAAAGAAACAATTTAAAAACAGGAGGACAGTTTAAGGGATCTGTGGGACAACATGAAATGTAACAATATCCACATCATAGGATTGCCAGAAGATGTAGAAAGCAAGCAAGGGTGAGAGTACCTGTTTGAAGAAATAACGGCAGAAAACTTTTTGAACTTGGTCAAGTAAAAGTCACACATGTTCAGGAGGCACAGAGAGTCCCAAGCAAGAACCCAAAGAGACCCACACCCAGACACATCATAATTAACATGCCCAAAATTCAAGATAAAGAGAGAATATTAAAAGCAGCAAGAGAAAAGCAATCTGTTACCTACAAAGGAGCTCCCATAAGGCTGTCAGCTGATTTCTCATCAGAAACTCTACAGGTCAGAAGGGAATGGCATGAAGCATTCAAGGCAATGAAAATCAAGGATCTGAAACCAAGACTACTCTATCCAGCAAGGCTATCATTCAAGCTTCCTAGACAAAAAATGGCTAAAGGAGTTTATCACCACCAAACCAGCATTGCAAAAAATGTTAATGGGACTGCTGTAATAAGAAGTAGAAATAGAGAGAGAAACAGGCATAAAGAATTAAAATGGCAAGAGATAAATACCTATCAATAATAATCTTAAATGTAAATGGATTAAATGCTCCAATCAAAAGACATAGGGTAGCTGCATGGATAAGGAAACATGACCCAGATATATGCTGTCTACAAGAGGCCTACCTTAGAACAAAAGACTCACACACGGTGAGATCGAAGGGAAATGGAAATGAAAAATAAGTTAGGGTAGCAATACTCATATTGGACAAAACAGACTTCAAAATGAAGGCCATAAAAAGAGACAATAAAAGTCACTACATAATACTAAAGGGAAAGATCCAACAGGAGGATATAACCCTGGTAAACATATATGCACCCAATATAGGAGCACCTAAATATATATATAAACTTCTGGAGAACTTTAAAGGGAAGATTGACAGTAATACAGTCACAGTAGGAGACTTCAACACTGCACTGACTTCACTGGATAGATCTTCCAGACAAAAAATCAACAAGGGAACAGTGACCCTAAGTGACACACTAGATCTGATGGATTTAATTGACATTTACAGAACATTTCACCCTAAAGCTGCAGAATATACATTCTTCTCAAGAATGGATAAAAAATCTGAGGTACATTTATACCATGGAATACTATGCAGCTGTATAAAAGAAGGATCTCTTACCCTTTGGAACAGCATGGATGGACCTGGAGAGTATTATGCTAAGTGAACTAGGCCAGTTCCAGAAAGACAAGTATCAAATGATCTCACTCATAAGTGGGATCAAATGAACAAAATAAACTCATGAACAAAACAGATTCAGAGACATAAAAGGATGGAACAGACTGAGGAATCTCAGAGGGAAGGCGGGGGTGGGTGAGTAGGTGAGGAGAGATTAATGAAAGAACTTATATAAATATACACTTAACCCATGGA